TGATTGATTGATTGATTGATTGATTGATTTAAGAATTTCTTCCACAGAGTAAGAACAATACAAATTTTGAGTTAAGGGTAAGTGTTATGGAGAAAAGTAATAGAAAAGTGAAAAAGAAATATAGAAAAAGAAGTAGAAAAGAAGGAAAAAGAAAAAAAGAAAAAATAATAAAGAAGTGGCGTAAGTGTTATGGAGAAAAGTAATAGAAAAGTGAAAAAGAAATATAGAAAAAGAAGTAGAAAAGAAGGAAAAAGAAAAAAAGAAAAAATAATAAAGAAGTGGCTTCCAATCTTCTTAACAGCAATTATAAGAACATTTATATTTTACCCTCTCTCTCTCTCTAAGGTTACATCAAAGTTTATTCTTTCCATAAGCTATCCTTTCTAATCATAAAATCCATAAATTTCAGTTCATTTTTTTTTCCTCTTTTCAAGCAAAAATTCCACAAGGGGTTTCCAGTCACTAATAAATGTAGCTGTTGATCTTTCTCTAAATGAACAAGCCATCTCTGCTAGATCTGTCATCTTCACCAACCATTCCTCTGATGTGGGTATTTCAGAATCTTTCCATTTTTAACATATAGTTATCTTGATCAGGGGTGGGGATGAAGGTTTTGAAGCTTTCCAAGGGCATGTGGAACAACTCTTTATCTTTACTTTAAAATATTTTATACCATATTCCCAATAAAACAATACTTACGTTTCTGGTTTAAGGAAGATACTAATGTAATGTAAACTATGAAATGATAAACAATAACAGAGAAAACTGATGGAGAGAAAGCCCTTCAAACAGATGATCAGGGAGATTGTAAGTTAACAGTTCACTAGTGTCCACCACATGTAAAAATTTTTAATTTGTGGATGAATCTGATCAGAAATGGGTGAGGGAGATGAGCCTTCCTTTACAGGAAATTTAGACAAGGTCCTTTTATGTATTCTAAGAAAACACACTCAGGACTTAACTACTTGATCAAGCACAGTAGCAACTTAGAGCTTCCATTTTTATTTATTAGGGCTAACTTAGTAGCAAGGAAACATCCCCCCCCTCCTCTTTTTCCAGCCTCTGTATTTAGAAAGATACACACATCACCACCACCACCACCCCTTGTGCATTGGCACGTTTAAAAAAAAAAGAAATCTGTTGGTGCAACTGGAAATGTTTCTAACCCTTCTCCCTCTATAGATGTCTACTTGTATGAATTTTTCAAAACAAAACAAAGTGGTGGCAGGACAAGAGAATTTGTCTTTCTTCTCCCTATACGTGTGGCCCCAATTGAGACTTGGTCATGTATGCTTATGCTAGAATAAATACAAAAAGAAAATAGCATTCATTATAATATACTACAATATATACTGTACTACATAGTAAACCTTAGCCTTCAGATATTGATGAAATTGTAAGAAAATCTCCATAAACATTCTGAGGAACAGGCAGCATTATAGGAAATGAAATGATTCTTTAAATAACCTGGGCCCAAATTTGTTCAAATTTATAGTAACAAGTATGAATTTGGACCAAGTAAATAAAAATGTTGTAATAAAGAAGTCCTATACTCCTAATATCTATCTGCAGGCTACAACATTTTGGAATGGCAGAGATTTCCTGATAATTTTTGAGGCAGCCTCCTTTTTATGCTGCAGAAGTCCAGTGATGGTTTAATTAAAGCCCTGATCATCATGGACAAAGATTTATTTCCCCTAGAAATGAACATAGTTGATATACCATCTTAAGTTGAACAAATGTATTCCAGGCTGTGACCATTACGTAGAGTCAAACTTGGATCCAGGAGTACTTCCAGTCTGCAAATGTGTGTTTTCAATGGAATGCTGCCCCCTACAAAACATGTTAAATTACAGTATGTCCAGAGAAACAGTTTCTCTAACCAAGAGCATCTCTGTTTTACTTTGCTGAGTTTCAGTTCATCATTTTCGTTCATTACTGAACTCAAACATCAACTCTAAACTTCAACATACTCCTAGAACTTGGTGTTGTTTGACTAGTGACAGGAATTCCACCTGACCTCTAGAGGACTACTCCTTGGGGCCATTGTGGGTAAGGGGAATCTTTTCAGGAGTCATAAGCATACTGCACTGCATTCTAGAAATATTTATTTATTTGTCAAATTTATATAGCCGCCCATCTCACAAACAAGTGACCCTGGGCGGTGTACAACAAGGCTAAAAACAATGAATCAATACCAAATAATAATAATTTTTAATATTTAAAAAGTATTAAACATTGTAAAAACAAGCTCAAAGAGAAGAAATATTAGGCAAAGAGATGTTAATAATAGTATAGCTACCTCAATAATTCACCAGTTCCCTGGGGTCCCCAGGCCTGGTAGCACATCCAGGTTTTGAGAGAACTGCGGAAGGACAGAAGTGATGAAGAGGGGAGGATACTCCACAATGCGGGCAGCACAGCAGAAAAGGTCTGCTGCCTAAGACCTGTCAAATGTAGCTCCTGAGCTGACGGGACCCACAGCATGTCCCCTCTGCTGGATCTGGAGGGACTGGCAGATGTAATCGGGGAGAAGCAGTATATCAAATAATTTCTTCAAGAAGGAGTAGGAAAAGCCTAAAAATGTGCTCCCTGTCTTTCATTCATATCCTTTCCAACAATGTGATACAGAATGATATCTTGGTTCATTATATTAAAAACCAAAAAGGTTCAACAGATCCAGTAGGAATGAGGTCCCTCTTTGTAATACAAGCTGTAGGGAACTGTGTTACAGTAAATACATACAAAGCATGACTAGGGGTATAAA